CAATGGCTGGACTACCAACTTCAGTATACGGTAGCCACAACATTCCGAGCCAAAGCATGCCAAGCAGAAGCGCACCGAACAAAAACAGATTGAAGCAAAAAAAAAAAAAAAAAAAAAAAAAAAAAAAAAAAAAAAAAAAAAAAAAAAAAAACCTCGCCACTTTTCTTTGGTAATGACACCGGTGCACTCTTTTGATCGTAACTTCTGCACCTGTGGTCCAAATTTATTGATCGTTAGCTTGTTGAAAAGCTCTCGATGAATCGCTTCCAACAATTTATAGATCCCCTAATTCGGTGTGGTGGTTGAGGAGCTACGATCTTTCAAAGATCGCGATTTTTTTAAAAGCTCCAAAATAACCACCCGCGCTCGTTTTTTCAACGAGCGCTATTACTCTAGGCGGTGGCTGATGCTGCGCCTTATCTCGTTGGAAGCGGCTTTCAAAAAGCTTTCAAACAAGACCTCTTTTGCCAAATTTCACCCAGCATGTGAAAAGTTATTGGCAAAAGAGTTTTTCCCCTCTACATCTCCTCTCTTGACCCGTGGCCATCTCCAAAAGTGCCACATGGCAGTTTGCTGAGGATTTTTTTTGAAGACCCCCCTGGCTAGGGGGCTGCACTACAGTGGAACTGGGTGACTGATCAAGATCTCAGCCAACCCCAGATAATGTGTAGCAGCAGTTCATCACCACCTTGAAGACCCCTTCTCCCAAGGGGTGTGTGAAGGCCAAGATTTTGTGGATCTTGGTGAAGTTGTATGCTCTTGGTTACCCAAGAGTTGGGTATCACCTCTCTCATCCCTAATCCACTCTCCCACTCCCTTTTCCCTCTCTTCCCTTCATCATCTGACCTTCTTTTTCTCTCACCACCACTCATCCATCACCTTTTTTCACTCCTCTCTCCACTTTTCTCATTTCTCTCCTCTTCTCCCCACTAATCTCTCATCCCCTTCACTCTTTCTCCATCCACTACCATATTTTTACTCTCTCCTCTCCCAACCTCACTCTCCTTGCTTTTTTTCTCTATTTCTCTCCTCTCCTTCCCCTTAATCTCTCATACCCTTCCCTCTTCACTCATCTCCCACCATCTATTTCTCTCCTCTCTCTCCACTCACCTTCTTTTACTAATCTCTCATTCTTTTCTTCACCTTTTCCATAGCTTTCTCTCTCATTCTCTCACCCTCCTCTTCTCCTTTCTTCCCCCAACTACAACCCCATCAACTTCCTCATCTACCACTTCAATCTTTTCTCTTTCCCACCTATTTTTCTTTTTTTTTCATAACTTTTTCATCCCCCCCCCCCCCCACTTCGATTTTTTCTGTTTTTCTTCTTTTCTCTTTCTTTTTGATTTAAATTTTCTCCGTTCCTCCAAAAATTCGAATTATCTTTTTCCCTACTTCTTTTCTCATCTTTCTGATTTAATTTATTTTTCTTTCTTTATTTTAAAAATTCGAATTTTTCTGCGGCACCTTAAAATCTGATTAGGACTTAGTCATTCTTGCTTTCGACACACATTTTGACCCCGTGGGGGATACGAAGTGTTGCCGAAATTTGTGAAAAATCCAAAACTTGGTTATTTTCTCTTCACTCTCCTCCACCTTCTTATTTATTTATCTATTTATTTATTTATTTACTTATTTATCTGAAAATTTTAATTTGCGGTATTGTAAAAATTAGTGTGTTTCTCTTAGTCTCTCCTTTCTCTTTGCACATTTTGACCCCGTTGGGGTAAGAAAATGCTGCCGAAATTTTCAAAAAAAAAAAAAAGTCCTCTTCCCTCGCTCTTTACATTTGATTTATTTATTTATTTTTATTTCTTCTTTTATTTTATTTTTATCTCTAAATTTTATTGTTTATTCTATTTTCTTTCCCCCTCCCCTCCATATTTTTTTTTTTCTTGATTAGGTCACCGCTACCCTCCCCTAACCACCTAAACTCCGATTAGGGTTTTCTTAGGGTTTTCTAGGGTTTAGGGTTCTCCTAACTCCCGCCCCCCTTCCTACTCTCCCGCCTCCTCCCGTCGGGCACCCTGGACCTGGACGGCTCCTCCCCCCTCGAGCGGTTCGGCGCCTTCGTCTCACGCGCGACCCGGAAAATCCGAGGCGAGCCGACTCACACATACTCACTCTGCTACTGCGGACCCCTTGCTCTTACCGGCGGACCGCTTTCCCCACACACCCCCGTGAGCTTTACCTCCCTTTCCCTTCCGATCATGACAGGGAGTTCCTTTGAGGAGATCACCGCGGCGCCGTCCACCTCCCAGGTGAGTGTTCAGCCATCGGGTCAGGGTCAGGCCCATGGAGACACGATGGACCTTCATGCCACCCTCGTAGCGATCCAGGCGCAACTGAGTACGCTTGGACCGTTGCAAGCGCAAATCAATACGCTTGCCCTTGATGTCAACCGCCTCAAGGGTTCTCCTCATCACTCTCCCTACCGCTCCAATACCCCATCCCCTACCGGCTCCGAGTCCGGCTCCCCACGACTCCGGAGTCGGAGACATCATGGTTCCCCCTCCTCTGCGGGCCAGGCCCAACACTCCCCCGCAGCAGTGGCGAGTGTTGCTGCCGCTCAGACCACCCCATCTGTTGCGGCAGTTCTTCCGGCCACGGCCGCCCTTACCGTCTCTGCTACTGCCGTAGGTGTTGCGGTCTAGGTACCGCCATCTGGCCCAGCAGTTTCATCGACCCACATCGGTGTTGCTTCCCAGCTTCCCGCACCGTCGCGGCAATACGCTCCGCCCTCTTCTTCCTGCCTTCGTCCCCCCACCCCCACAGCAGGGTACCGCCCAGGCTGGGATTCCTCCTCCCACTCGCAGACCCGCTCCGCCCCCTCCACCTCCGACCCCGCGCACCCAGCGAGTGGCCACTTTACAGGCCACCATTGCGCGGGCTCAGGCGGAGATTCTCGCTTTGAGACAGCCTCACCCATCATAGGCTGCCCACCCTTCCTCCTCGACCACCCCTTCGGTCCCCATGATGCAGGCTCGTTTCCCTCGACCTGCTCCTCAGCCTCTTCCCTCTTACCTGGCCATTCCGGGACAACTGCCCACGGTCGTTGCCTCCTCGTCTGCTGGTCCATCAGACAGCGGTCACGGCCCACAGCCTTCCCCCACCTCTGCCCCTGCAGCGGCCTCGACTTACGCCGCAGCAGTGCACTCGCCTCGATCTCTCTCCCCCCGCCATCAGCAGAGTGGACATCCTCCTGTGCGCACCACGGACATTCCCGAGTATGATGGCACATCTTGTGTCTCTCGCTGGTTGCAGATAGCAACACGTACACTCTCTATGCTGACCACCCGTCAGGAGTTGTGGTGCGATGTGCTCGCAACCAAATTGCGAGGTAGCCCTTCCACTGCGTGGGAGGATCATTATACCCAGCACCTCCGCGTGGGTGAGGTCCCCACTCTGGCCGACTTCGCGGCCTTCCTTCATGACCGCTTCGGCGCTCGTCATGTCGCCACTGACGCCTTAGACCTCGTCACCCAGACGAGATAGTCCGGGTCCTCTGTACCGGCCGACGTGGAGCGTCACATGCGGGTGTTTCAGGACGCTCACCTTGTTTGTGACGAGACGTTCCTACCAGAGGTCGCACTCACCGACCGGTTTCTTGTCAGCTTGCCGACTGACTACCGCCTAGAGCTATGGAAGCGATCATTCTCTTCTGCGGAGCAGGCATACGAGGCTGCGCGTCAGTACCAGAGGATGTGCAGTCGTTTCTCCGTCGCCCCATCCTCTTCGCGGCCAGCCGCCACCTTTCAGTCTCCGGGTACCACCCGAGGCCGCTCCTCGTTTGCTGGTCGTTTTCGTCGACCGGCTCGACCTGGAGCGCCATTCTCTCAGCACTACAGTTCTCTCGAGTATGGAGAGGACGCCTCAGCCGAGCTCAATCCTACCATTGGGGACGCCCCCGAGGACATCGAGCTTCGTGACGTCATCCAGCACCACTTGGATGACGACACTGTCCCAATGGCCGAGTGCCTGCAAATGGCCATGTCTGCCATGGGTCGTGCGCGTTGTCGGGTTGCACAGGATGGCGCCTGCACACCCACAGTTCCTCAGATAAACCTCCCGCAGGGTTTTGTCCCTCCTCGCGGAGCTCTATCCCCCGAGGAGCGTGCCGCCCTCGAGGCCCGACGCGGCTGCCTTCGTTGCCGCCAGGATGGACACACCTCCTCACGGTGTCCATACCACACCGCCCTCGATCGGTACTACGCTGACATCTCTCGTCAGTGTCGATCTCAGTCCCCTCCCGGCCCCGCCCGGCCAGCCCCATCCACCTAGCCACGGTGCACTGTGCTCCTGAGGCCTCGCACATAGCCGGCTTCCCGACCACCGAGTCGCAGTTTGCCCCTTTGGCTACCCCACCAGAGGATCCTCAGGACACGACAGACGCAGTTCTCTCCGCCCCATCGTCTGTCGAGGTACCGTCTGCCTCCCAGCAGACTGCCGCATCTAGGGCTTCTCCTCCGAGACTTCCGACGCGTCGTGCCATCCGCACAGCCCATTGTAGTGCTCAGCTGGTGACTCGCGATGACGTTGTGTCATCTCTCCTGGATTTGAGCATTCTTCAGGCTCGTCAGGAGCGACTCACGAGACACGTAAACGTCCTGCGTCGTCTTCTCGCTCTTCTCTCTGACCCTGATCGTACCCTCCCCATTATCCCTATTTGCCTAGGGACATCTACGAGGGTGTATCGCGCTTTATGGGACTCTGGCTCGCAGGGAGACTTCGTTCACCCTCTCGTGGTTGAGGAAGCTCGCCTAGCTACCTCCGGGTCTCGCTCTCCTATCTCTGTTACCCTCGGAGATAACAAGACACAACGCTTCTTCGATCAGACGGTCCCCGACCTCCACTTCTCCCTCACCCTCCAGCCATCGGATAGTACCCAGCCGCCTAGGCGCTACCATTCCTCCGCATACTTCGACGTGCTGGAGAGTGGGTACGACTTTATCCTTGGCACTCCCTGGTCTCGCCGGTTCCGTGGCACAGAGGCCGAATAGGCGACCGAGATTCTCGTTCTCAAAACGAAGTGTGGTCAGACCCATCGCGTTCCATTCATTGGAACCACGGGCGACACCCCTCCCGCCCTACCTCCCCAGGACCCTCGTCCCTCAGGGTCCCACCCTGACATCGCGTTCACTTCCCCTCGTTAGTTTGCTCACTTTATACGACAGGAGGACGTCACGTTCTACTCAGTGAACGTCATGGATCTTCTTCGCTATGATCCACTCTGTCCCGAGTTTGAGCTCATATCTCTGGAGCCCGATCCCCCTGACCCTTCCTCCATCTTCGCGGCTCCCATATCTACATCCACCCGTCAGCCTGCGGATACCCCCTCCATGTCCCAGGCCCTTGAGCCATCGATTGTCGAGTCCACACATACGTCTCGTGCTGACGGAGATGCTGAGGAACTCACACGGTTCACGACAGACTTAGAGCCCGCCGTTCGCGACCTAATTCGAGAGTACGGCGATGTCTTTCCTCCGTATTTCTCATACAGCGGGATTCCCCCGATGCGCGGTGTTGAGCATTCTATCCAACTCGTGCATGACTATCGTGTTCACCATCAGAGACCGTACCGACTCTCGATTCCAGAGGCGACGGAACTCAAGCGTCAGCTTGAGGAGCTCCTTCGACTGGGTTTCATTAAACCCAGTAACTCCCCTTGGGGTGCACCTGTCCTCTTTGCTCGCAAAGTGGACGAAACTCTCCGCCTCTGCATCGACTACCGTGGCCTTAACCGTTACACGGTTAAGAACAGTTATCCCATACCCCGCGCAGATGAGCTGTTTGACCGTCTGGTAGACAACCGCTTCTTCACGAAGATCGATCTTCTTAGCGGTTACACCCAGATCCACGTTGCCACAGAGGATCAGCTGAAGACCGCCTTCCGATCGCGCTTCGGCCACTACGAGTTCACGGTGATGCCATTCGGCCTCACCAATGCACCCGCCACCTTCCAGACGGCGATGAACGACATCTTCAGGAACATCCTTGAAGAATACGTTCTCGTATACCTGGACGACATCCTGGTCTACAGTCGTACCTTAGAAGACCATCTCAGACACCTCCGCGATGTCCTACAACGCTTACGCAAGCATGGTTTCTATGCCAAGCTCAGTAAGTGCCGCTTTGCCCAGCGCAAAGTGGACTTCCTAGGACACCATGTGTCTGACCAGGGTC